TTTGCCCCTACCAACCATGTAAATTTTAGATCAAAGTATCACTAATTTGGAAAGATGCTTACCTGCACTGATGCTTGTGAAAGAACCTCGCACCGATGGTTGGGGGATTTATAGTGAATACATCATGTTTGAATGACAACCTAATGTATAGGCAACCATGGCATGGTATGTAGTGCATGTTGGTCACATGCCTGGGATTTATCGAACCTGGGAAGATTGCTATGCTCAAGTCAATCGCTACCCTGGTAATTTGCACAAAAAATACAACACAGAAGTTGAAGCTTTGAGGGCCTACTATAGTCATCCGGCCTACCTTGCAAACCATGGGCAACCGGCCTACTATGGTCCAATGAATGCAAACCATGGCCATCCGCTGGCACTGGAGATCGAAGAGAAGCCACCCGCCGGAGATGTGAAGATTAGGAGAATTGCTCCTTGGTCTTGGAAAGATGTCATGCTTTTATTTATGGTTATGGTCATCGCTTTTCTTATTTGAAAGTTGATGTAGGCTTAGTTTCGTAGAAGAGTAGGTGGACTTTGTTGTATGTGGTCAATCAAACAATGAATTTGTTCTAGGTGTTTGACTTTGTTGTATGTGGACTTATTATTAGACTTTGCATTAAACATATTATATATATATGAACATATGCTATTAGTAGTTGTCCGTGGCCAAAACTAACCATGATCGTGTCACAGCCGTGACTCATCGTCACATGTTACCCCGTCGCTGAAGAACTGATCGGCAACAAGAAGCGACTGATATCGCTGGAATGGGAGAGACGCATGATCCGACAAACGGTGACGGTGTCAATCAGGTCGGTGAGAACGAGCAGCCATGGACCCCGTCCAACCTGCTCGATCTGGGTCAAAATGACCAAGATGGCCAGGTAACTTTGGTATCATGTCACTATATAGCCACACACGCTAATCAATTGAGAGGGTCATAGCTTACTTAGTGTCTCTAGCAGGACCCTCCGCCGGCCGAGGAGCCAGAGGGTTCGGGTAGCAGGAAGGCCAGATCCAAGCGAGGCATGTCAAAGATTGCTGTTGGTAGGAATGCATACTAGCATATTACTGAGTTCGATGAATTTGGGGATCCACTCTCACCACCTATAGCTTTGACCAAATACAAGACTATTCTCGGGTTACTTGTTAGGGACTTCATCCCGATTAAGTACAGGAAGTGGATTGGGAAAGATGATGACCGGTGGAGGGTTCCCGAAAGTGAGAAGGATTACATATGGGATGTCAAGATCTCAGAGTATTTCACTTTCCCAGCCGAGTATGACAGGGAGTTAGTCAAGAAAAAAGCAAAATATATCATGGGGACATGCTTCAAGAATTTTAAGGGGACACTGTACAAGAATTTTGTTCTCCAAAATAAAGAGCCAGATTTCGATGGTGGACAATTTAGCAAGCAGAAGGACTTCTGGCAGGCTTGTAAGGAATATAGGTTATCCGAGGAGTACTTAGAACTGAGCAGGAAGAATAAGGAGAATTCGCAGAAAGCGACGAAAACTCATCATCTCGGCTCTCGTGGCTACGCCAAAAAGATGTCAGAATTTGAAGCAGAACTTCAAAAGATGGATTGCCTTGCTGAGGAAGGCATTCAGGTTGAGACCGCTGATTGGGAGCCCAGATCGGTAATATACTGTATGGGGAGGAATGTACGGCACGCCGATGACGGGAGCTTTAGCTCCTCAAATCAACTCATGAGCGAACTCATCCAGAGGATCTCCTAGGTAACTGAGGAGGTGAGGCAAGGGACTCGCACTTCTAATAGGGAGAAAGACGTGCTCACCCAAGCACTCGGAACCAAGGAGCACCCTGTTTGCACTAGAGGAACCGGTGTTGTTCCTTGGAAACTAGCATTCCCCCAAGAATCTAACACTTACCGAAGCCGCTCGAGGAGTAGAGAGGAACATGAGGCAGAGTATTTGAGGATACTAAAAGAGATGGAAGACAGAATGGAAGCACGGATTGAGGCGACCGTTGAAGCGCGAGTCGAGCTAATTTTGCTGTCCAAGGGGTCAGCAGTACCACAAAACCCTACTCCTACTGCCTTTAGCCCACAATTTAGGGGTCGCAACAGCTGTAGATCGACCCCGCTCGACGAAGAAGAGGTGAATGTGCCTCATCCGGTGGATGACATCACTGAACCCGTCAATGTCAGGTTGTACATCCGTCAGGAATGGACAAAGGACAAGGTGGCGCTCGGCCAGGCCTGGCCTGTGGGAGACGGGACAATTAATGGCCGCCCAATTCCACTGGGGTACGCTCGCGTCACCATTGACAGAATACTTGATAAGAAGTATAACAAGATACCCATTGAGTACCTCATAGCGGAAGACAGACCGAAACTTGGTCATAACAAGGGCTCTCAAGTTGCCTGGCGCTAGCGCTTCATTAAGCTTGACCACCAATTGTCCTTTGATGATGAGGACGACTGCGAGTCTTCGCCCACCCGCGATGATAACTCACCATCTCCCAACAGTGATCACTCCCCTCCTCATCCAGAGCCATCACCCCCGAGAAGACAAAGGTCTCCTTCTATTCCTCCTTGTCCGAGTCCATCTTCATCAGTCCCGAGAAAAGAGACTCCTCCTCCTCCTCCTCGTCCGACTCCATCTTCATCAGCGCCGGAAAAACAGAATTCTCGTCGTCATCCTCCTCCTCCTCCACCTCAGCCCAAAACAAGATCAAGGACATCCTCGCAGTCGTAGAAAAGGTCTTTGGATTCGGTCGCTAATGCTCCCAAAGTGGACCAACAGAAAAGAAAAAGGCCATTCAGTGGCAGCGTTACCTCCTTGATGGAAAAATTTTTTACAGCACACGTCTCGAAGAAAGATTGTGTTAGTTTCTTCAATCTCTGTGCCTCACTGCCTTCGTTTATGTTGAAGTCCGAATTCGAAAGGCAAACATAGAATAAATACGCGACAACAAGAGACGAAAAAATACACAATAAAGATTTAAGGAACATACAGAAGTACGTCGAAGACAACCCAGGATTAACCATGGAAGAGGCCGCGACCATCTATTATGATGTACAAGGGACGACAACAACAGCAATGAAGTATGTAAGGGACAATATTTTGGTTTCTGATCATGAGTATAAAAATCTGACAACATATATGCGTCATTTACATGAATATTACATGGCTCAAGCAACAGAGACGGACAGCTTTAGTTTTGGGGTTATTATCCGTTCGCCACATGTTTTCAATTATCCTGAAGAAGAGAAGTTCGATGTCGAGTGGGAGTTCTTGTTCCAGCTATACCAGAAACGCGATCTCGATGTTCAACTGTTGACATTGTGGACTATGTAAGTACCATACACGCACGATTTTACAATTAACTACTCTCTCGAGACACAAATTGTTAACTTTTGAGCACTTCTCATGATTTTATGTAGGTGTATAACAAAATTTTACATTCTAAAAAGCAAATGAGATTATATAGGCTTCGTGGACCCCATGCGAGTCAATGAGAGGACATGTCTAGACCTCTATGGATGTGATGTGGAAGACCTGAAACAGAGATTGATTGCTATTTTCGATGAATTCACAATGAAGAAAACCCACGTACTTCTAGCCTACAACTGCGAGTGTGTGTTCTCGGCTTTTAATTTTATGCTTCTTTTTTCGTTAAGATTATTCGATAATTAGGATTCTATGATTGCAGCAACCATTTTGTCTTCATTTGTGTTAATCTTGCCAAAAATCTGCTCGAGGTGTGGGACTCGAAGAAAAAACCATTTCATCATCTGGATGCACTGGTGTCAGTGCTGAATTAGTAAGCGATCCTAATAACATATTATTATCTAATCACACATACCGCTTTCTAATGTTTCTCCTTTTAATGTTGTTCAATGTCCGAAGAAGACATATCGGTGGGAAGCCGGCCCATTCAAAGTTGTCGAAATGGAGGGGAAGTACCTATCACAGCCGGTGGAAAACAATGAATGCGGGTTTTATGTAATGTGGGCAATGCTTCGCTACATCGGCGGAAAATCAGAAGAAGCCGATAAGTTGGTGTGTATAATCCCCATTCATTTATGTCTGTTAATAATTCAACAAAATGATTTACTGTTACTCTTTGGATATCATCTTTTTTGAACGACAGCGCAAGAAATTTAAGCACGAAAGGCTGCTAGACATGGAGATCGTCGCACTAAAATCTAAGCTGGCAAAATTCATCTTAGCCGAGGTATTGGAAAAAGATGGACTATTTTCCATTGCACAATCCGTGAAGTATAAGGACCAGTATGGCCCAGAGCAGCTCGCCAGATTATTGTAAGAAGTTCGAGAAGCATTACACAATCTGTGAAGTCCGAGAATATTTCTTTTTTATTTTGAGGGATCGAGATCTGGATAAGAACATTTGAATTGTAACAGTAACATTTGTAATGTTTAATATTGATGGACATGTCGTCTACGTAGCGTATATAAAGCGGTTTGATCCATCAACCGACACTGATGGTTACGACGACACTGATGGTTACGACGAGTGTAGTCTTGCACAACACTGCTGGCTTGAGCCAAGAACCGACACTCTTGAAGGAACCGTCACTGTCGGTTGGCACTACAAACCGGCAGTGTTGTTCAACTGGACACTGCCGGGTGGAACCAGGAACCGACACTGTTTCCTGTAAATCAGTGTTGGTTTTTAAGGACCGGCAGTGATGTCAACCCCACATCACTACCGGTATGCCACTGTCGGTTCAAAATCCGGTAGTGAAGTGGGTTTTTAAACCGGCAGTGATGTCCAGATCTTGGGTAGTGATCCAAGTTGTTAGTTATGACGTTGATGGTCCGCGTAGAGAGAGATGGAGCCATTTTGTTTACAATTGTTGCAAGCAGTGCGATCATGGAGTCACCGGTACATATTGTGTGTTGAAGAAATGAGGTTACTGTATTCCACCAATATATGATGAATAACAAGATCACGAAGGACTTCTATGTCAAGTTTCTGTCCATCTAGTTGATTCTTTGATTGAAGATTCAAGGACCAAGGAGGAACAGCCCCGCACCGCCAAGAAACGCGAGCAACCTCAGAGGAGCTGCAACCTTGCTGCCAAAGCTGCTTTCGTCGTCACCATAGATGTCAGGGTAGTCTCCCAGATGCGGCTCCAAATCGTTGAAGTCGCCTGCGCAGACACACGAACACGAGCATGTCAGTTTGCGCGCGGCGGCCGTTCTGCATGCATGCACACTGTGTTGGTCGAACACCACCACACGTGCGGAAACCAGTAGTAGTCTGGATCCCAAGCTAGATCTGGGCTGGTATATGAACGGAGAAGCTGGGGGTGGGTGGGGGTGGGGAGATCGGACCTCTTCTGGCGGTGTGACTGCAGCCCCGCCGGAGTGCGTATCTCACGTCCTCCACGGAGGCCCCGTTGTAGAAGGCGAAGCCGTCCAGGGCGCTGGCCACGCAGTTGAGCACGTCCTCCGTCTCCACCACGCACGCGCCGCCGCAGTAGTAGTCCACCGCCCCGATGGGAACGGCGATGATTCCCGATGGGTTCAGCCTGTACGCGCCCTCGCAGCAGCTGTACACCTGCGGGCATGCAGCAGGCGCTTACGCACGGCACGGGGTCAACAGAGCACGCCGGTGCGTGACGACGACACGGAGAGCAGGTGCGTGACGACGACACGAAGAGCTGGTGCGTGACGACGACACGGCATCTCACATCACAGGCCTTGTGTACTTAGCTTACCTGTTGGTCCTCGAAGCACTGCAGCGACCTCGTCGGCAGCAAGTTCGGCAGTGGATCCATCGGGAGATCATCTGCATGCCATGCGGGATCTAGACATGAACACGTGATAGACTTCGACGTGTTAACTACGGAGTAGATGGTAACTATCAATTGACGAGCTATATATATGCGTGTGTTGTACTGTGCTAGCTCCTTGGCGGGTGCAGGGGCTGATGATGAGCATGCACCGTACCTGGTTTGCAGAAGGTCGCGCACAGGCAAAGGACGGCCGCGAAACGGCCGCACCAGCGCCGGCTGTGGCGAGCGGAGAGGTCGCCCATCGGCGAAGGGGCGGCAAACAGATCGATCTCGATCTCCTTTTTTTTCACGAACGTACCTGATGAGCACGTACAGCAGATGGATCTCTCACTCAAGCTTGTTGAAATTATTGACGGCCAGTGATTTAAGAGAGGAGCAAGTAATCCGGCAAGTAGGAGTGTAGTAGGAGAGAGTTCAAACCTACCTGACCTGCCCGCTCTTTTTCACTCGCATCTCATCTCGCCCCTGTACGATTTGCGGGTTCACGGGTGCGTGGAGATAGCGAGAAGAGCACATAATAAGTTATTACGGCAGGGTAGGACGATCTCTCTGGAGCAAGTAATTGAATTGAGCGGCTGTTTGAATTTGAGTAGTAGTTTGTACTAGCTAGTACGTAGTAGAGATTTGCGCGTGTAGTGACCGTAAAGCTGCTCCTCTGTGAATGTTTGGTCGGACCTGGAGTTCTCTCTGTGTACTGTTTGGTGGGAAACACGAACGTGGAGGAGGCCTGTGCGTGCTTGACTCGGTTTCTCGTTTTCGCCGGAGTTGGCCTGACCATACTATATTATCGTTAGCAGCTAGTAGATCAGATTCATGTCCCGTGCCTCTGTACAAGCTAATAACTGCATTGCTTATGCGCTACCAATACTTCTAGAAGCATGCTAAGGGCTTCTCCAGTGGAGTTAGCAAAGCGACTCATGGTCCTACCTAGCAGTACTAGTAGCGGACCCACGAATACTTTAGAGCCTGGCAAATTTAGTATGATGAGTATTTGCTATAGGAAAAATATATTCCAATCCTTCGTATAGCATAACAACTTCATTACGTTTCACTGCATATTCATCGAGGAGTCCGGGCGGTTGGCCAGGGTCGCCGCCGGGAGGTGAGTCCGCCTAAGCACCTAGCACACGGATGAGTCGGTTTTACCGCTAGAGCACATCGATTCGTCGAGGAGAGAGAGGAGTCGATACAAGATCTTGCATCGGTTCTTCCCAATTAAAAAAAAAATGAATCGGCCACACCATGCAGGCCCTCGGCCTCGCCTGGCTGCGACTTGCGATCGACGCTGCTTGGAAACCTCGCTCGACTGCGACACGCGCCCTCACTGATGGAGACGGTCGCAGATGCCAGGCTGCACCGTCGGAAGAAGAAGGTAGAAGAAAGGGAGAGAAGCAGCCGCTAGACGAAAAGGATAGACATGAATCGGGTCTGGGTCCTATACCGCTGGAGAAGGATGAGTCGACTCCTTGATGATTCGGTTTTGGGCCTAAGTGGCCCCCTCTCTTCTTGAGGAGTCAACCCACCACTTCGGTGTTCGCTGCAGCTGCACGCATCATCCTGTAGCATTCACTACCGGATACAAGCATTCACTACCCGATACAGGAGTTTTATCGAGTGCCAAGACCCAAAAACACTCGACAAAGCGTTTGCCGGGAGAGGATCCAGCTCCTCTGCGCACCCCGCCGCTGGATCCGGCTCCTCCGCTCACCCCGCCACCGGATCCGACTGGCGCGCCGCTGCATGAGGAAGAGAGGGGCGCACCGCTGCATGAGGAAGAGGGGGGTGTGCCGCCGCATGGGGGAGAGGGAGGCTGCGCTGGGGCCGCATGAGGGCGCCGGGAGAGAGGGAGGGGGTGCCGGCGAGGCAAGGGGAGGGGAGGGAGGAGGTGCGCCGACGAGGGCCGGCCGCCGGCGGGGAGGGCAGGGAAAGGGAGCTGGGAGGGGAGGGAGGGAGGGGCGCGCGGTGTGCTGGGGGAGGGAGGGGGCGCCGTGCAGGGGGAGGCAGTGCGGGAAAGGAGGAGGGAGGCGGGGTTTTATTTTCAGAAAAAAAATTATTTATTTGCCGAGTGTTCTAGATCTAAGCACTCGGTAAAGTTTTTTTTTCCGTTTTTTCCTTCTCCTTCTTTTTCAGAATTTTTTTTATTTCTTTGCCGAGTGTTCTAGATCTGAGCACTCGGCAAAGTTTTTTTTTATTTTTTTTCTTCTCCTTCTTTTCCAGAAAAAAGATTTTATTTCTTTGCTGAGTGTTCTAGATCTGAGCACTCGGCAAAGTTTTTTTTTATTTTTTTTCTCCTTCTTTTCTAGAAAAAAGATTTTATTTCTTTGCCGAGTGTTTTTTTTACACTCGGCAGACCCGCTCTTTGCCGAGTGTTTCCTTTTTGACACTCGGCAAACCCCCTCTTTTGTCGAGTGTTTTTAGCGCAGCACTTGGCAAAGAACTTATTCGCCCTATGCCCGAGGGAATACACTCGGCAAACATAAACAGCCTGTTCGTTTCGGCTGAATTGGCTTATAAGCCATGACTGAAAGTACTGCTGGCTGGTTTGGTGTGAGAGAAAAACACTGTTCAAGTCGTGGATTATAAACCAGATACGAGCGAATAAGCCGAAACGGTCACCCGGCAATTTTGAGGATTTCGATAGTGATTAGGCCTGCTAACGGCCACCCGGTACCTAATCCAACCCATAACAAATTTACTCCCTTTTTCAACTCACCCCACTCTGTAGTTTTATAGTTTCAACTCAACCCATTCCAACCCACAAACTAATTGAACCTCCTAGTTTATTATAAGAACCAAAATAGGTCCTGCCCCACCCGCATCACCCCTTCCTAGCTCGTTCGCGACGCAGACTCGACTCGACCAACGGCGACAGCCTCCAAACCGACCAATTGCGCCCATATAGATCCAGACCATCCTGTCACCGCATCCTTCAGCCAAGCCAATGATAGCTAGGGTTGTGAGAAGCATGGAGGCCGCGGCGACGAGACCGCAGGCTTCGTTGAGGAGGTGCTCCACCAAGAGGTAGGCAGTGTCTGATCGGACGCCCCATTCATGTTCCGCAGGAAGGAAGGAAGAAGATAGAGCGTCCACCTACGTAGGGCCGGGAAAGGTAGCAGGAGTGAAGAATCGGTTGTCGGCGAAGGATGTCCGGTGGATCCTAGCCCAGGAGATGAAGGCTTCGCTGCCCACCAACCCGGCCCTGAAGCGGAGCGAGCAGGAGCTGGTGTCGTGGCTCGGGAGGAGGAGGAGGAGCTCATACGGCTCTACGTCCTAGCAAGGGCGTTCTATGAGGTCGAGTTGAGGTTATTGAAGCTTCAGGACTGGGTGCGTAGTGAGCTGGAGAACAAGGGGTACGTCGAGGTCGATGATGAGTGGTACAAGCGCAAGGCCAATGCACTAGTGACCATGGATGACCTCTGCCTCTCGGAAGGTGGTGACAAGAGTGAGAGCGACTCTGACAAGGAAGCGGGAGAGGACGAGACAAGTTGAAGCTCTGGATTCAGTGAAGAATAACTGAATATAAGAGATATATTTTGCTAATACGTACTTACTGAGGAAAGTTTCAGAGAGATCTGGATGGTTCGAAATAAACACATATGTAAGTGCAGATGCTTTAGAACAAGTGAAGATAATAATGATACTGTTACCAGATAGTAGCACGTAAAATGTGCAGTTATGTCTTACACCCTCGGTTCAAAAAAAAATGTTATTCTCGTTTATCGAGAAGTCAAATATTTTTAACTTTAATCAAATATGTATAAAAAATATTAATATTTATGTTACATAATTAGTATTATTAGATAGATTGTTAAATATATTTTTATAATAAACTTATTTAGAGACATAAATGTTGCTAAATTTTCTATAAATTTAATCAAACTTCAGAAGTTTGAATAACACGAGTCCCATAGTGATACCGATGTTGTACTCATTGAGTGAGCCAAGCAGAGTCTCTCAACTGTAATTACCTTCTTCTGGATTATTAGGGCGTCCGCAATGGTCCTAGACTATTGCTAGCTAGGAGCAAGTCCAGATCAGCTTGAGAGACAGCATGCGAATTTCTCGTCCAACAGTTCACATTCCCCGAGAAGTTTAGGTCCCACTTATAGAAAATTTTTACTATAAATCATCACTGAAGCAGAAGGGACTTTTCCTCAAGCTATGCGCTGAATGGTTGAAACGTGCACATAGTGGGCCACTCCCTCGGGACGCAAAACGCCCCGTTCGTTTAAGCTGATTTGGCTTATAAACCATGACTGAAAGTACTGTTAGCTGGTTTAGTGTGATAGAAAAATATTATTTATTGGCTAATAAACCATAACTTATAAGCCAAATACGACCGATCGAACAAGCTTTTTTTGTTTTCTACGTTCTCTTGCCTTCAGCTCAGCACTAATCTGACGTGTGCTAGTTACGTCGCCCATTGTTGGGGACGCCTTATACTCCATGCTACTTATCATGTCTTTTTTTTCAAATATCGCTATGATATTCGTGCTGGTCAGTTTAAAATGAATATTATAGCTTTAAATGAGATCTAGACCTCTATAGTTTTGAGTTTTTACATTTAAGGTTGTTAAGATGTTTAAAAATTATAGAAAGTTTCATCAGCATGTTAATCATGTACCGGGGCTTGTCGCCTTTCAAAATTATATATCTTTCTTGTATGGGTCATATGAAGATACTTTTTATATCAAAATTATAACTATCGATAAGATCTACGACTTTTGGTTTTGAGGTTTTTCATCTGAGATCGTTAAGATGCTCAAGAAAATAGTATAAATTCTAAGCGACATATTAATCATGTACGATGACTTTTCTTTTTTAAAAAAATCATATGTTTCTTATATGATATTGAATAAATATACTTTATATATGAAAGTTGTAGCTCTCGATAAGATCTAAACCTTTTATTCAAAAAATATATTTATCCTACACATATAACAAAAATATGACTTTTCTAAGAAGACAAGCCCCGCTACGCCATTAGTATGCTCTTTAAATTTTACATTATCTTTTGAGCATCTTAGCTATCTTAAATGAAAACCATCAAAACTAAAAAGTTATAGATCTCATCGAACCTTATCTTCATTTAACACTATATAAGAAAGATATGATTTTTATGAGGTGACAAGCTCTGGTATGTGATTAATATATTGCTGAAACTTTATATTATTTTTTAGTATCTTAACGACCACAAATGAAAAAATTTAAAACTCTAAAGCAACAAGCCCTGCTATGATCTCATTTAGAACTAAAACATTCATATAAAAGTATATTCATTTGACACTGTACAAGAAAGATATTATTTTTCTAAGGCGACAAAGTGCTTGTACGTATTTATTGTCACGCTAAAAATTTATATTATTTTTTGAGCATCTTAAGGATCTAAAAAACTCAAACTAGAATGTTGTAGATCTAGTCGAGATCTATAATTTTTATATTAAAACCATCTTCATCCGACGTCGTATGGAAATAATATGATTATTCTAAGGTTGAGTCATGTCACATCATTCTCATTGGTGCGACAAAACATTACTGTCGTGACAACGTTTTTCACGTAAAAATTGTTATCGAACGTGGCAAATCTTGTCGTACATTAGGTAGAAACTCTAGTGTGTTTTTCATCTTTATTCAAAATTTATTTTTATTTTAACAAGAGTTTAGGGCTCATGTAATTACGTTGAAACTAAAATTGCACTCTAGAACTAAACTTGTTGAATTTGTTATATCATAGGATTATATGTGTAGTATAGTAGAACTGTGAACAACTATGACCAAATTTTAGGGACGAAGCAAAATTGTTTCACGAAAGAGCACATATCTATAACAATTTTTTTATTTTGTTATGGATCATTGGTGACGGTCCTCGGGCACTGACTACTAATGACATGACATTGTCATTGAACGACACAGACCACAATTGCCACTGTCCCTACTCATATTGTGACGCTCTATTTTAGAACTGCAACAAAACCACTTCGTCATTGAACCAATTATTCATCTGTGATGCTCGGTTTAAAAATTGTAACAAATGGCACTTCATCATAAGTCTCTGCATGGTCCTTTCTCCATTCAACGTGTACCTGTAGGACCCGCAATTACTCATATATGACGCTCAGTTTTAGAACTATAACGAACGCCACTTCATCATAAGTCTCTACGCGGTCCTTTGTCTATCTGACCGACATACGTGGCAGTCACGTGTACATGTGACATGTACTTGTGGGACCCGACGCTTGTGTGGCAACCACTTTTAATATGGGTCCCGCAGGGGTTTAATTTCTAAAAAAATCTCATACGTTGGGATCGAACTCGGGACCTAGATCGAGGAATGGAACATCTTTACCACTGCGTTAGACGATTGGTTGTGTTGGCATCTCTTTAAAATCTTTATGGTATTCTATTCTCTATGGATCCCCTACATGTTGACTTAAATTGGATATTTCCTGCAATTGGAAATGGATATGTGCCCGCTTGACTTGTGGCAACGGTGGCGGAGGTGGAGAATCCCCTGTCTATTGTGGTTGTTCAAGCATCCTTTTGGAGATGGCGGGGCTTCCCAGTCGCGTGCAACAGTATGGGCGTCCGCGTCAGGTGTGTGCCACAGCAGAGGCAGCCTACGGCGGAGTCGTGTCAGCTCGTAGAACAAAGGTACGAGTACCTACTTCTATTATTATAGGACTATATTTTATGTATACTATAAAGTATAGCACACAAAAAGAAAAGCTATTCTTTACAAATTTCAATTGAAATCAATGCTTCCTACACCAAAAAATGAAATGTTATTTTATCACACAAAAATAGAAAACCAGACTGTCCCATAGGATGATATGAACAAATGCACAGATTACTGCTCTTGAAGACTATATTTCATTTGTTCTAATGCTAGATTTGTCACTGTCTAGAACGTTTGATACAACAGATGGACAGAACCTTGGTTAATGGGAGACAATTTAGACCTGCGTTCATGGATAGAGTTAAACAATTCATGGGGTTTGTTAGACAAAGATATTCGAAGCAAACCAAGATCCTTTGACAGTGTCATCGATGTCTTAACCAGATTTTACGGCTTCAACCAGAAGTGCATAGCCACATACATCTATTTGGAATGTCGTCCACACACACCAGAAGGATTCATCATGGGGAATCTTTAGGTACTGACGTTATAGAAACCTCATATATACGTGAATCTCATCATGATGATTGGGTTCCAATGGAGGAGGAGTACAACAATGATAACACATTACTAGATATTGATTTAGTTAGAGACCTGTTCACAGCTCCAGAGTGGGTTGGAAAAAAGTCAAAGTTTGAAAGAGTGCTTACTGATATGAAGCGGTTAGTTTCTCCTTGATCTAGTCAATCAAGATTCTCCTTACTTATCAGGTTGCTCTATATCAAGTCCCACTATCGAATTAGCAACAGAGCTTTTAATGCATTGTTGGCGCTGCTTTCGTCAACATTCCCTAGGAGCCAACAACCAATCATATGACGAGCCATGCAAATATATTTAAGAATTGGGACTTGGTTATGAAATGGTCTATGTGTGCAAGAACAACTGTGTGTTGTTTTCGCCGTGATCGTGCCAAAATGGAAGTGTGCCCAAAATGTGGTGAGTCTAGATGGGAGGATGCAGATGGTAGTAGGCGGGTTCCTCATATGGTTTCGAGGCATTTTCCACTAATATCGAGGTTGTAGAGGATCTTTGCTTCAAGACAATAGCAGAGGACGCCGAATGGCACAACACTAAGGGTGCGGTGGTCGACAATGAAATATGCCATGCAGTAGATGGGGAGGCATGGCAGGATTCGATAGAAAACATGAAACTTTTGTAGGAGATGCAAAGAACTTGAGGCTTGTCGATACCACAGATGGTTTCAATTCATTTGGCAACTTTAGCTCAACATATAGCATGTGGTTTGTTCTTGTAATACCTCTGAACCTACCACCATGGGAATGTGTTGACCGATCGAATTGCTTTATGTCTTTACTTATGCTGGGCCCAACCTCCCCAGGAAAGGATTTTGATTTATTCTTGGAGCCTCATATAGAAGAACTGCTAGAACTATGTAAGGATGTTGACACTTACCATGTACTCCTTCATGACAAGTTCACTCTACGTGTTGTCGTGCTTTGGTGCATACACGATTATCCAACATTTAGCACCTTGTTAAGCCGAACTATAAAAGATTATTATTGTAAGGACCGTGACACCTAAGAGGGGGGTGAATTAGGCAACTTAAAAATCCACTTCTAACTACGGCCTATAATTTTCACCTTAGCGAAACCTATGCAAGAAAGTAATCTATCTACATGTGCAAATACGGTTTTGCTAATGTGTTGCTATCTCTACCATAAAAGAGTTATGCAACATAGGTTCCAATCCTATCAACTAGCCTATCAACTAAGCTAGGAATAGTAAAACACACCACCAGGATTACAATATAAATGCGGATGGTAAAAGGGCGATGGAGATGCAAACTCCCGTCGATGATTCCAGTATTTTTACCGAGGCATCGAGAAGCACTCAAGCTTCGCCATAGTCCTCGTTGGAGCCCCTCGCAAGGGCTAAGCTCCCGATCGAGTAACTCCATGGATAGCCCCCGGCCTTCCCCACGTGCAAGTGGGTCTCTGGTGTGTCTTCCAGCAAGCTTCTCCTAGACCGCTCCCCGTCATCTTCACTATCAAGCTTCAGGCCAAAATACCACGGGCCTTGTTCCCTCCGTACATGGTAGCGGCCACACCACAAACGCAGTTGGTATGGTCTTGCAGGACTTACAAGCCCTGCCGAGTACAACAATGGTGCGCGCAAGCACTGAGTGATAAGAGGTGTGCAACCCTGTGGCAGAATCGCCCAAAATAACACGCTTTTGGAGGTGCTCATCTTCCACTAGACACTAAGCACTATGAGAGGTAGCTACATCGGACAGTTCCATCGAGCACACCCTAAGGGAGAACTCGAAACAATCCACGTTTTACATCCAGAATCCAATCATGAGTACGAGTTTACAATACTTAGTCCATTTCATACAACAAGAGTTCTTAGAAATTATTTATTACAATACCAGAGTTTAGATTGCGGTAATTAAACAACAAAATTGAAATAAACATATAACGGAAATGATATAAGGATCCATCTGTGCCTACCAGAAGAATCCTCCATACCAGAGCTACTCCTCAAGCTACACCTGCAATAGGGGTAAATAAACCCAGAGTACACAATGTACTCGCAAGACTTACAAGACTAGAGGGAATAGTTTTTCGACTCTAAGGGGTATGATAGGCAATATGGGTTTGTTGTTTTCTTTTTGTTTGCGGAAAGCATTACTAATAGTTCATCCTTACAGTCAAGTTTTATTAGCAGTCATGATTACTTCATTAGCTAACCATTCTAGGTAAGCACTTATTCTACTTTCAAGCAAGGGTTGAGCAATCAGAACTATTTCACCATCTTTCATCTTCCAGTTCTTACTATGGTGCTAGACCATAGCCAAGTCGTACCGTCTCACAGAAACAATGATTCACAAACCAATGTATCCCAGTTGGTACCTCAAAACACACGCCCTGTTTATACCCCAGGCACAAACAAGACCAACCCATTCCACTCCTGTCACGGTGTCTAGGTCCCCATCCAAACTTGGACTCCAAGCCCCCACACTGGTGCTTAGACCTCCACCTTTCCCTGCCTCCAATCAATCGGTCCGGAAAGAGCCAGAACCCACAACAAGAGCGTAACGAGCCTTCCCGCTCCGATAAGCAAGTATGTGCTCAGGATAATAAGTATGTGACCTGACTACCATCCACAGCAACGGACGGTCCTCAATCGACACGGACAGGGAAAATAGTGTAACCAAGCCATGCCCCGTGGCCGCGGGACACAACTCGTCACGGTCACCAATATCCATACCATATCCCTGCCCGCTCACAATTTTTCCTTCCATCATTTTATTATGAGAGTATTGTAGTATTCACCTACTTGTGAGTAACGACAGGTTACCCAAGCTACCGATAAATCTAAGCATAGCAGCTACTCGATCCTGCACTAGTAAGACTCATAGGATAGGTATATATATGCATGTGGTTTCCATAAAATTCCAATAACATAAATGCATATAACATATATATACAGTGATTATCAAAAATAAGGGTTATGCACCGAGGCTTGTCTTGAGCAAGTGCGGTGTCAGCTGAGTTAGTCAGCGGTGTCTCCAGGACCTCCTCCTGCATGAGAATCTCCTCCTCATACTCCTCGATGATATCCTCAAACTCGTGCTCACTGGTGGTCACAATCTCCGCCAACTCGTTCTCTATATGCAAGCGATGATGATGACGCAACAATTTAGTATTTAGGCAATAACAACTCTTAAAATAAGGATACACATGTTAAGCTACTAAGCTAGCTCTAATGACTAAGATACAAGGCTAACTATCATTCTCATCAAGCAAAGTATTGAGTTCAACTAACAAGCACCTAGTTTCGCAAATCAATGGTATGCCTTTATTTCTATTAAAGATTTAATGTAGATTTAAACAAGGAACATTTAACTACCCTAATGTTTAGTCTAGTCTAAGGTTACAAAAATTACAGTGAGCACATAATAATACAATGAAGCTAGTGTAAAAATTTTAGGATCAAAGCTATCACCAATTTACCACAAAAATTCTTATAATAATTAACCTAACAATATTAAACACTTTCAAATAATTTAATAGCTCTCCACATCAACACAGATATGTATGAACCAACTACACTAACAAATAGACAATAATTTGTGGAACCTAACAAAATTAGTTTCACCATTTTTGGATACATATACGATTTTATATTAATTAAACAAAACTGGCTCACAATTAAAAATAAAAAGTTATTTCTAATTCTTTATGAAAAAGAGGAAGCGAACTAGCCCAGCGTGGCCCAACGTGGCGCGGCCCACGCGCGGAAGCGGCCCACGGTGGGGGAGCCCGCATGCGCTGGCATTTTGACAAAAGAGACCTCATACTTGCTCCAAACTATGTCACTGTCTCGGCACTATTTCTTTCTCTCTCTGACCTTTGCGCTTAACCGCCTGGGTTTTTCTTAAGTCTTCCGCGCACGCCTCTAAGGTAGGGCGAGCGGCGGTATGGCGAGCACTAGCATGGGCCGGCCACGCCAACCATCTAGGGTTCACGTGGACCTACCTAAAGCGCCGACTGCCATCTATGACCTAAGCGCCTACACTAAGCGGCGGTGAGGGGCAGCGGGACACATTGGAGCGAGTGGCAGCAGTGCGTGGCTGTCCGCTATGGTGATGCAGTCGTTCCGATGCACTAGGACAGCTACAGGCCTAACCAACTAGCGAGTGAGCATCCGGAGCTTACCATGGACCTAGTCAAGGTGATGGTTTGTCCAAAGACTACCTGAGCCGGGGCTGGCCATGTGCGCGTGGCGAGCTCGACGATGAGCCATGGCGAAATGGACATGTCAGCGGCGCTGTGACAGCGGTAGAGGTACAATTGATGAGCACAAAATGAAGAGGGAGTCAAGGTGAGGCTAGTGGTAAATCTAGTTGAGCACGAACAACTACTGGGAAGGGTTACCACCACGCCGGCCGAATGTGGCCTTAATGGCTCAGCATCGGGGAAACTCCAAAATTGGAGCTCGGCTGGGCATGATTTAAGGCGAGGTGAGGTCGATTAGCAAGACGACTTAATGGCAAAGCCAGGGACGTGATGAATCGGGCGATGGTGACTCAACCATGCCGAATTTGATGGCGCGGCTCGGTGGCCATGGCAGGTCTGGCTCGGCTCGTCCTTGCCTTGGAGGGACACGGCTGGCTGCTAGCGAAATGGCACATGTGCGCGTGCAATAGGCAAATGTGGTCAGAGGGAATGTGCGTGTGTGTCCCTAGCCAAGACCAAGCCAAGTGTGGCACAGTGCCATAATGGCGAGAAGACAGTGCAGGGTAGCAAGGGCTAGCCCACGTGCGTGGTAGCGAGATGTAATGGTAGCAGCCACAGCATGGCAGTGTGAAGCAGGGATGGCAACAACGGCAGCAGGTAGGACAGCGATGGCCTACAGGGCACCATGGCCCGTGGCTGGCCGGCAGCGGGCGCTGCGGTCGGAGTGGACAAGCCATAGCTAGGCCACGGCTAGGCCAGGTTGGCCTTGGCCAGCCAACGTGCGGCAGCGTGGGCGTGTAGGGCATGGCTGCATGGCGACGCAGAGCAGCCGCACGTGGAGACCACGCGTGCAGGCCAATCAACTAGTGACTGTGTGCATGCATGAATTTTAAAGCATCCATAAAAACTAAACTATCGGAGTTGAAGCTAGACCACCTTCACTATGCTAAAGAGGGCATATCAGGCTACCCATAAAGGCTAGAACATGGTACCAAGTGTAACACCTTTGGTGTTACACCCTAAATCATTTACTAAAACATGTCATGAGCATCATGGTTATGTGTTAATGCATGGGATATAATGTGTAGATAAGTTTCTTGTAACTTAAAATGATCAATAAAAATGCTAAATGAAAGTTGATTCAATAGCTCATGTATACCAAGTAGGGTGGAAAACCAATTTTAATTAAGCAAAAATACTATAGAACATGTGTGTGATACTTAAATAAAGTTTGAAGTACAAACTTTGTAGATGACAGTGAAATACTTGCTGTTGAAAAATGATAGTACTAGCTAATATTTCTACTAGCCTAGAAATTGCAAATTGAAATCAAGTTCAGCTCAAACTTAGAAAATTTCCAAGTTTGTCAACAGCTAGACATTGCTATGTTTAGCAAATTATTTTGAGAGATTGGGTTAAGGGGTGGTGTAGTATTATAGCTCGATTT